CAAACTGCTGTTCATAGTTACTGGATACATAACGAGCCTCATCATTATCTCGATTTTCTACTTCCATTTTTATTTAACAGTGAAACGTCTTATTTTAGTACAGTCTAGTCAGAGGAGTTAATACTATTACTATATATGAAAGCAAAAATAAAACACATTTTCATTTGTTATGGTTGTTTAATTGAAAAACACACCATTCGCCACATCTTCAGAAAGACATATTACATTTGACCAAGTTAATGTCGTAGTGCATACAAGGTAATAGACTTAACGATTTGCACTGCTGCCTCTCTCCGCGTTTCATTTACAGTGATCGGTTTATCGTTCAATTCACATTGCCCAACTAGATGTTTAGGGGTCTCTTGGAAGTAAATGAATGCATTTTTTATATCAGATAAGTGCATTAACATCACTTGCAAATTCTCTATCCTTTCACCCGCAACGATTATAATCTGCTTTGCTTCTTCTTCGGTTTCACCATTATTAGCTCTGAATGTAATCCTTTCTGGGGCTTTTTGTGCTTCTTGTGGTCTGTTGATTACCTGGCATAGGATTTGTTTAGCTGTAAGGACGGGTACCATATAATTGTCTTCATAAGCTGGAAATTCTTACAAGTTCCCCCTCCTCAAAATTCATTCCCGTAGCACCTTTCCCCTCACTGATGCTAGTGACCCCCCTTTGTATGCTAATTACCCCTTTGTTCGAGGCGTTATCACATGTAGGTGTGTTCAGTTAAACACTGAGATTTTCAACATACTACTCTACAAAATGATTTTTTCATATTCTTTTGACAAACTATACTTGACTTTTTTACGGAAAATCATGACACACTTTAATGTGACTTATTCTTAATTTTACCATACTAAAGTAAGACTTGAAAATACTATATCGTTTTCTAGTTTTTTATATTATACATCCTTATTTATGTTAGTGTGCTGAGAAAACACAATAAGCAATAGCGTTTTAACAAGCAGTTTAAACTGTCTGTGTCAGTTTTACTTATCTCCATATTAAGTGATTATATAATATGACAGTGATCATTTCTATGTTTATTCATTGCAAATACTTAGTTACTTACCACTTGAACTGTTTAGCTCTTCAAGGTTAACTGACCTAATATATACACTTTTTTGTAGTATTGTCACCACGTTCTTAAGAATTATATGGACGAGTTGGCAGCTGCCATGGCTGGACTGTCAATCAAAAGTTACCAGTTATCAAGCGATGGTATGGACAACTTAACAGCTGACTTGGCTAGACTTACTATGAGGAGTCAGCAGGTAGCAGATGAGTGTGTGAATGAAATAACAGCTGCCTTCAGAGGACTCTCCACTAATGCACAGCAGCTTCCTGTTAGTGCCTGCACTGAGAATCCTCAAATATGGGTTGATTGCGCGTTGATCTGTTGGTAAAATGCTCATCTATCATTTTCAACCAAGCAGTATGAGGTCAAATTTAGTAAGTAATAGTTTGTCACGATTTTACGGGAAAAAGTCAGAGCGCAATGTCACATCTTAAAGACAGCTTGAACTGGATAGATGGTTAGTCTTTTTTCAAACATACCATATGTTCTGCATGTTAGTATATTTGGCCAAATCGGGTTAGGCCCTACTGCCCCACTCCCCCAATAGGGAAGTCACGCTTTGGGAAGAGGTGTTTAATTTCACAGATCTGACTTGATTGCTGTTGTGATGGCTGAAGTAATAGGGACGGGGGAGGAAAATTCAGGGGTGAAGAAGCAGAAAGATAACTTGTTTGTAAAGCGGACAGCACGTCAGTTTCAGGAAAGATGACACATATAACTTCATATAAGGATTATTTTATTAAGGGGTGATGTAATTAAACATAAAGAAAAAACCAAAATACCCCAGGATCATTAAGATCTTTAATTTATTGCCAACCTCTTCAGAGAGACTTTGTTGCATTTATTACCAGATTACCCCTCCTTTCTATAAGAGAGGCCCTTATAGTTAGTATAGTAATTAAACATTAGTTCACCATCCGTACACTTCAAGAGAGCCTCCTTAGTTATTAACCCAACTCTTATTTAAAATAAAAAAAAGGCAGAGTAGGAGGGGAATACGGGTATGTGTGTGTGTGTGTGTGTGTGTGTGTGTGTGTGTGTGTGTGTGTGTGTGTGTGTGTGTGTGTGTGTGTGGAGGGAAATCTCTCAGAATGATATCCCCTTTAGCGCAATACAGCATCAGCTACACCACTTATGCGACATACAAGAATAGTGTGTGTGACAGACAAAAGATGTCCTGTAGGGGCTGATTGCGCATGGACATAAACGCTAGTAAAGTCTAATCTGACGGGGGAGACCCGCTGTTGCTGACGGGGGGAGATCCGATGCTGCGGACTATTCGACATGCATCTCTGCATGCGGTGAGCGGAACAAAACACACTCTTCAGATATCACACGTAGCTATTTTATTTACCTCTCAAACTACCTAAACTATTTATAGATATGTTTTAGTTTTACTGTCGAGTCACTCATTATTGGACCCGCGACTTTGATACTGTCGTGTTGTCAGGAGGGGGAGAGCAGTCCGTTTATTATTCCCGTGTTATTGTAAATTACTGTACACGTTTTTGAATAGTTAATTAATCTACTATAATTAGTTGGTTTAATATCGAATCATATCAGTTTGTTTCAAAGCTCATTAAATAACATAGAAGACCTTTAACCGGCACTTTTCTAATTCTGCCTCGGAAGATTTAAACTGTAACGAACATGCCGACCGGACAGGAGGGGGGAGGAGGAGGGGGTTGAGAGGGGTGGGGGCTGAGGAGGGGGGTGGGGGCGACAGGGGGGATGTGAAACCTGCTGTAAGGAGGGGGTGGGTTGAGAGGGTGGGGGCTGAGCGGGGTGGGGGCTGAGAAGGGTGGGGGCTGAGAAGGGTGGGGGCTGAGAAGGGTGGGGGCTACCGGTGAGGATGTAACACCTGTATGTGAGGGGGAGGGGGGCTGGCTGAGGGGGGTGGGGGCTACCGGGGGGATGTAACACCTATACGCGATAACACTTCGAACAAAGGGGCTCATTAGCATATCAAAGGGGCTCATTAGCATATCAAAGGGGCTCATTAGCATAATTAGGGGGCGGGACTTAGAAGGTGTGACCTGTCACTTTTTTATGCATACTAATGTGATTGAAGCGGGATTGGTAACACTACTATAGTGCAGTGTTAATGTTTAATGTTAAAACATTATATGGAAGAAACGAAAGCCGTATTAGTTTGAGAAAGTACCATGTCTCGTCAACGGTCTACAATTTTGAAGTAGTTTTTAAGAAATAAATCTATAAGTAGCAGCTTTCATTAAATATCTACATTGAGAGATTTGAAACTAAACACATTGCAAATATAGCCGCTTAAGAGGAACAACTAACAGTGAGAAGAACATCGGCTGTGAACCCTTCCAGACACGTTGTTGTAATGCCGTCACTATTATGAAGTCATATAATAATCTGTACAACAATCTTTTATTCTCCTAAACATTTTAAATCTATTAACATTATTTAGGTGGAAGCTTTTCAATAATCTCAGTGAGATGTAAAGCATCTTAAAGCCTTGTATATAGTTTATCATTTCTGTAATGTTTTTTATTTGTTAATTGTGCAAAATCAACTAAAAGTGTCTTATTTAGCCTCTCATTAGAAACATCTGACTTCTTTAAAGAGAACATTGTTAAACCTTTAGGTGTTATCATTATAACACCTATAACCGACAATAATCAAAACACATGGTGCAGAAAGTGTTTTAGTTTGTTGTCACATTTAGTCTGATGACTTGACTAACTCCATGTAAACATTGATATTGTATTAAAGATCCTTCACTAAAGTCATCGATTGAACCACATTCATATGCTTAAGTTTAAACTTAGCAGGTGTTATGAATAATGAACTACTGTTTTTGAAATGTAGTTTTATTCATCAATTAAGGGTAAAAACTGTTGAAAAGTAAAAACAATGAGAACACAACATTTTCAATTGGCAGTGTTTGTTTATTCAACAAGGCACAATCAACAACCTAAATATGAAAGCCCAATAGAGGTGATGATACAGCACAACAACAACTTGTATTTTCTACAAGACATGGTACTCACACAGAGTAGAGGAACAACCGTCTTTATAAAAGACAAGCGAATAACAATATTTGAGGACACAGTACTCAATTTCAATTGCAATTTTGATCAAAACAAAATTGTAAAAACTGACCTTGCAACAGGTCAAATCCTTTTTTATAACCATTAAATAATATTGAATGATTAAATATTAGGACAATATTGCCACTGTAAAACTGTCACATTGTGACATTAAACACACCTTTTATAAATAAAAGGAGAACAATGTAGAATCTAACACAGATAATGTTTTATACATAAAGTGAGGAAAAGTCCTCTATAATAAAATGTCAGTTACGTTTCTTTTAATCTAAACAATCAAAAGACAACAAATATTCACATTTCATACATTCACCAACACATGGCGTGCAGTGAGTAGTAAACTAATCACAGAACAATTGTGATATTAAACAAACCTTTTACAAGTAAGGATAAATATTTGGATCTTGCAACAGATCAGTTTTGAGCAATTATCATCAAAACAAAGTTGTTGTGAAAATATTTCCATAAAAAGAACAGGCAACGTTTCTGATCAAAATGATCAATAACAACCAAAAGATTACACACATTTAACCATAGCACTGTAATCTGCCAAAACAAGAAGTACAGTGTATTCAAATTATAATTGCAAATACAATCAGATTTGGTTCATGCAACATGCATGACAAGATGTTCTCTTTCTTAAATTGAAAGATATAGTTGTTGTCATTTCCTCAGGACATGTCATCTTGCAAAAAGAAAACAAACAAAACCAACCTTCTGTACAAACAGAAGAAGAAGTTCATAACATTTCAGAATTCAGAAGAATTCACTTCCAGTAACCTTTGACCAATATGGTCATCTCAGTTTGTCTGGTAGTAACTCCAGTCTGTAGGGGTCTACCACGGCCTCCAGGGGACGCTGTTGACTGGACTCTTCTCTTTGGTGATGCTGGTCTGGACTGTGGAGCTCAGCAGAGAGAAGTCAGCCTCTCTCAGGTTCTTATCAGAGGAACACTGCATCTTGTTGACGTGGTTCAGCAGTCTTCTCTGCTTTTCATTCTGCTGCTGCAGTCGTCTCAGGACACAAACTGTCATCTCCAGGATGTCTGCTTTCTCCAGCTTGGAGTCTGGCTGCTGTTTGAGGAACTCTGGACCCAGGAGAGACTTGATCTGCTCAATGCTGCTGTTGATTCGCTCTCTGCGTAACTTCTCCACCAGAGGCTTTTTGAGCTGCAGAAAGAAAAGGGAAGTCATTAATAATCTTATGGAATTTAGATTTGGCATGAGCAAAGACAACATCTGAATGACAATATTGAAATCTTGAATTTACCTTGTGGGTCAGAGTGTGAGGCTCCTGAGAGTTGGTCATTGCTGCAGTGATTGTAGGTGCCATGTCTGGATCTCTGTGCTGTAGAGGTCTCTGTAGAGAGAATCTGATCTCTGCTGGCTTCATCCCTCCTATTTATAGTCCCACATCTCCATATGAATGTGTGGGTCTGGGTCTGACTGCACTTTCTCACAGTCTCAGCCAATCAGAAAGCTTGGTGACACAATAAATGATGCCACATGCCTGATGGTTTTATTGAAATGAGGGCAATGGTTAGATCCCAGGGGAACAGGTGGGGGACTGGGGGGGTGATGGAGAGAGACTCACAGAGCTCTGTGTGAATCTGGGAAAGTGGTGACCCTGTAGAGAGCAGATCTGCTGCCTGATGCTGGGATCAATGACTTTGACTGAGCACACGCTCATCATCTCATCACACACGTGGGACACAACAATTAATTTCATCTTTGCTTAAATTGTCTGTATAAATGTTTAAATACACTCAATAATTAGTAGAAATATATATTTGCATTATTACTTTAAGTGCCACTCATGTAGTTTATCCTCACTTTTATTTATTATAAAATCAGATACAATTGTCCTTTAATACATTTTCTCTTTTTTCTTAAACTTTTACAATAATAAAACATCTATATTACAAACTGAATTATGTTATGTTATAATAAGACTTAAGTACACACTGACGTGCTTATCTCCAGATGTAGCACACTCTCTTGACTTATGTGGGTAGAAAGTTGGTCTCAGTTTCTCACACTGACTCTGAATGCTGTGATCAGTGAACAACAAAAGGTCTTTGAATGGAGCCTTTGTGACTGATACTGGACGTGTGTGGTGGTAGAAACAGAGCCGGACGTCACCCACCATCTGGAGGGAAACCACGCCATTGGCTGGCTTTTTAATGATGAGTCCACTACATTTATTTCTAAAATGATAAGGATAACTTTTATTAATCATTGAAACATTTAGACCTTCAATTCAACATTGTATTTTATCATTAGCAACTTGTTCAAGAGTTCTGCTTTTTAGATGAGTTTGGGAGGTTGAAGCAGCTGCTTCCTGAAGTGTGCCAAATCCCTTTAGAGAATAATCTGCTGCTCGTGGGGTTTAGGTCGATAATCATGCTAAACTGTGATCTCCTGAGAGTTCCCACACTCTGTCTATTAACACAAATTATTCTGTTTGACCAAAACCACACCGATGTATTGATTGTCCATTTTACACTTGGACCATTAGATCATTCATTATGTGTATACTAATTCACCTTACTTGTACAACTCAAACATAAATATTTCCATTCGTATATAATGTCAAAAGTGTAGGTGTTGTAAACCTTGGCGGATATCACATACCATCAGTCATTTATAATAAAATATTCCTGTATAGTTCATGTAAACCATAAACCCTGAGGTCAACATCTGATACTTGGCTGTGGTCATCATTTGTCTAAAAAACAGCGACCTGTTGGTAATCAAAGTAAACAATGTTCTGTTTTCCAGTGACTTGTAATCGGTTGCAAAGTAGAACAACATAGTCATCCTGAGACAAGACCAATATTTTGTACTTTAAATTCTCAAAAACAATCTAGTTTTACAAGTAGGCTCACTAACAGACTCTTATACATTACAAAAGGCTTTGTCAAGCAGTTTTTATCGTGGTAGGAAAAACTTCACTTAGATATTAATCTATGATATTAAACAGATTAAGAATGTAGCATTTCTGAGATCCAGAGTGTTTTGAATCTGTCTCTATAGGGCACAGATCTTTTGTCCCACAGGGCTCTGTGAGTGAGGTTCCTCTGGTTTCCCACACGCTGTCCTTTCACTGGAGGAACAATAGAAGTGTGCCTCATTATGCATCACATCAGATACAATGTCTTCTGTCTCTGAAGTAGAAACGTTTTCATTTACATTTTTTACATTAAACAACCACACTTTACAGTTCATAAAAAAACGTTCTTTCCGCCAATAATATTTTAGAATATACATTGTCTCATTCAGTTGATGACTTTAGAAAAAAACTGACCTAATTTCATGAATAATCTGAGTGAAACCAGCTGAAAATGTACCGGTATGGTGCAGCAGTTAGCACTGTAACTCAGTGAAAGGGTTCTAGGTCTGAACCTGCTGAAACTTTGATTTGAAGAGATGTATTGTTCTCCCTGTAGGTTCATGAGTTTCCTCAAAGGTCTCTGTCTTCCTCCCCCAGCTCGAAGACATGCAGTCTAATTTAACAAGCAACTCTAAATTACCCAAATGTGTTAATAGTTACCAACCCAGCGACATCTATGCAAAGTGGTTATAAGTGATGGATGGATTGTGTGTTAAGCTTAGACAAATACTGTGTCTTACAATGGGTGGATGGTTATAGAGAACTCTTATTTAATTCAATAAAACTCAAGTTTCTATCATAACAAGGGCAAGTGTAAGGAAAAACTAACTATAGAACAACATTTTCAGCTGGCAATTTTTGTTTATTCAAAAAGCACAATGAGCAAAAATAAATCATGAATGCTTCATCTAAAGGTGATGATACATCACAACAACAACAACTTGTAGATTTCTACAAGACACTGTACTCACAGAGAGTAGAGGGACAACCGTCTTTACAAAAGACACACAATTTACACTTTTTGAGGGAACAGTAAAACATTCACTGTTGGCTAACAAACATGTTTTTATAAAAACTGACCTTACAACTGGTCACGTCGTTTTAATAATCAATAGATTTTTTAAATGTAAGATTGTCAGAGTAAAACTGTGACAATGTTACATTTAACAAACCCTTCATTATGAAAGAATAACATTTTAATCTTAAAACAGAACAATTGTCAATTATCACAGAAAGTGAGGGAAGGTCCAAATATGTCCATAAAAAGGACAATTAATATCTTTGATCAATCAAAGAGATACAAAAAACAATTCTCCATGTAGTTAGTATATTGGACAACACACAAGGTGTAGTGAGACAAAAAAGTATCACAGGAAAAGTGTGACATTTAAGAAAACCTTTTGGAAAACAAGGATAAACAATTCGATCTTTCGATCAGGTCTGAGTTATCAGAGAAATTAAGTCAATTATGAGTAAGTCCTAAAAATGGACAGGAAGTCTTTGTTCACTATGATCAATAACAATCAAAAGATACTAAATGCATTAAACTGTATACGACCAATACTTGATGTACAGTGAGGTATATCAATGTCTGTTGCATTCAGATTTGTTCTTGCAACATGCATGACAAGATGTTCTCTTTCTTAACTTGACATGTAAGAACAGTTAAAGTTTCTGATCAAAATGATCAACAACAATTAGAAGATTACAAATGTAACCATAGCGCTGTAATCTGCCATTACATGAAGTACATTGTATTATAATGATAATTGCAAATGCAATCAGATTTGGTTCATGCAACATGCATGACAAGATGTTCTCTTTCTTAAATTGAAAGATATAGTTGTTGTCATTTCCTCAGGACATGTCATCTTGCATAAAGAAAATGAACAAAACCAACCTTCTGTACAAACAGAAGAAGAAGTTCTTAGTATTTCAGAATTCAGAAGAATTCACTTCCAGTAATCTTTGACCAATATGGTCATCTCAGTTTGTCTGGTAGTAACTCCAGTCTGTAGGGGTCTACCACGGCCTCCAGGGGGCGCTGTTAACTGGACTCTTCTCTTTGGTGATGCTGGTCTGGACTGTGGAGCTCAGCAGAGAGAAGTCAGCCTCTCTCAGGTTCTTATCAGAGGAACACTGCATCTTGTTGACGTGGTTCAGCAGTCTTCTCTGCTTTTCATTCTGCTGCTGCAGTCGTCTCAGGACACAAACTGTCATCTCCAGGATGTCTGCTTTCTCCAGCTTGGAGTCTGGCTGCTGTTTGAGGAACTCTGGACCCAGGAGAGACTTGATCTGCTCAATGCTGATGTTGATTCGCTCTCTGCGTAACTTCTCCACCAGAGGCTTTTTGAGCTGCAGAAAGAAAAAGAAAGTCATTAATAATCTTATACTGGAGTTTAGATTTGGCATGAACAAAGACAACATCTGAAGAACAATATTGAAATCTTGAATTTACCTTGTGGGTCAGAGTGTGAGGCTCCTGAGAGTTGGTCATTGCTGCAGTGATTGTAGGTGCCATGTCTGGATCTCTGTGCTGTAGAGGTCTCTGTAGAGAGAATCTGATCTCTGCTGGCTTCATCCCTTCTATTTATAGTCCCACATCTCCATATGAATGTGTGGGTCTGGGTCACACTGCACTTTCTCACAGTCTCAGCCAATCAGAAAGCACTGTTTGACAATAAGGGGTTCAGCAACTCAATAGTCTTATTGCCCTGGGGACAATGGTTAAATCCCAGGGGAACAGGTGGAGGACTGGGGGGGTGATGGAGAGAGACTCACAGAGCTCTGTGTGAATCTGGGAAAGTGGTGACCCTGTAGAGAGCAGATCTGCTGCCTGATGCTGGGATCAATGACTTTGACTGAGCACACGCTCATCATCTCATCACACTCATAAGGGAAAACTATTTACTGTGTATATTTAAATTAGAGCTGGGATAAGCTAAAGTGTAAAAGCTAAGTGATATTTCATATTTGTCAGCGCTTTCATTCACAAAAAAATGATACATTGAACTGTTAAACACACTCCATTTTATATTGATGATTTAATTTGATATGTCATTATATATTTTTTTCATCATAAAAAATATCCTCAAATCTCTACATTCATTTTATTGCAAACAGGCAAAAAAATATGTAAGAAAATAGTGTGATGCCCATTCATGTTACTTGAACTAAACCCACCCTAATAATCATGCATCTGTCCAGATGTGGTCTTTTGACACGTGCCTTGTAGTCAGCCTGAGTAGCATGTTGAGCTCAGTTTCCCACACTGACTCCCTGTATGGTGTGGTCAATGCTCCACAAAGGGACTCCTCTGACAGATGCTGGCTGTGTGTTGTTACAGAAACTGAGTCTGACATCACCAGCCATCTGGAGGGAAAGGACGCCATTGGCTGACTTGTAGTGTTCGAAATGTTGGTTGAAAAAAACGTCCCCTAATTATCATCCTAATTAATCACTATTTTATATTTTGAGGCGCCGATCATTGGCATATTTTTAGAACTTTCATTAATTATCATGTTTTATTGCTGATCAATAACTTGATCAGAACTAGTTCTCTATACATGAATGTGGGAGGTCTCCTGGTGGGCAGCTGTTTCCTAAAGTGTGCCAAATCCCTTTGGAGAATTACTTGGCTGCTGGTGGAGTGGGTGGACGTCGTTCACCCTCAACTCTGTCCTCCAGCGTTTTCCCACACTCCCTCTCTTTGCTGTGAATAGGCATGTGCCCCTCTACAGATGGACCTTTGGAAGACCTTGTGCACTTGCGTCTGTGAGGCCCCCCTTAAAGATAATTAACCATAAAAGTGAATAGATTGTACTTGACATCAAAGGAAACCAGAAAAGGTCACTTCTGAAGATAGTGCAGTGTTAATGTTTAATGTTAAAACATTATATGGAAGAAACGAAAGTCGTATTAGTTTGAGAAAGTACCATGTCTCGTCAACGGTCTACAATTTTGAAGTAGTTTTTAAGAAATAAATCTATAAGTAGCAGCTTTCATTAAATATCTACATTGAGAGATTTGAAACTAAACACATTGCAAATATAGCCGCTTAAGAGGAACAACTAACAGTGAGAAGAACATCGGCTGTGAACCCTTCCAGACACGTTGTTGTAATGCCGTCACTATTATGAAGTCATATAATAATCTGTACAACAATCTTTTATTCTCCTAAACATTTTAAATCTATTAACATTATTTAGGTGGAAGCTTTTCAATAATCTCAGTGAGATGTAAAGCATCTTAAAGCCTTGTATATAGTTTATCATTTCTGTAATGTTTTTTATTTGTTAATTGTGCAAAATCAACTAAAAGTGTCTTATTTAGCCTCTCATTAGAAACATCTGACTTCTTTAAAGAGAACATTGTTAAACCTTTAGGTGTTATCATTATAACACCTATAACCGACAATAATCAAAACACATGGTGCAGAAAGTGTTTTAGTTTGTTGTCACATTTAGTCTGATGACTTGACTAACTCCATGTAAACATTGATATTGTATTAAAGATCCTTCACTAAAGTCATCGATTGAACCACATTCATATGCTTAAGTTTAAACTTAGCAGGTGTTATGAATAATGAACTACTGTTTTTGAAATGTAGTTTTATTCATCAATTAAGGGTAAAAACTGTTGAAAAGTAAAAACAATGAGAACACAACATTTTCAATTGGCAGTGTTTGTTTATTCAACAAGGCACAATCAACAACCTAAATATGAAAGCCCAATAGAGGTGATGATACAGCACAACAACAACTTGTATTTTCTACAAGACATGGTACTCACACAGAGTAGAGGAACAACCGTCTTTATAAAAGACAAGCGAATAACAATATTTGAGGACACAGTACTCAATTTCAATTGCAATTTTGATCAAAACAAAATTGTAAAAACTGACCTTGCAACAGGTCAAATCCTTTTTTATAACCATTAAATAATATTGAATGATTAAATATTAGGACAATATTGCCACTGTAAAACTGTCACATTGTGACATTAAACACACCTTTTATAAATAAAAGGAGAACAATGTAGAATCTAACAGAGATAATGTTTTATACATAAAGTGAGGAAAAGTCCTCTATAATAAAATGTCAGTTACGTTTCTTTTAATCTAAACAATCAAAAGACAACAAATATTCACATTTCATACATTCACCAACACATGGCGTGCAGTGAGTAGTAAACTAATCACAGAACAATTGTGATATTAAACAAACCTTTTACAAGTAAGGATAAATATTTGGATCTTGCAACAGATCAGTTTTGAGCAATTATCATCAAAACAAAGTTGTTGTGAAAATATTTCCATAAAAAGAACAGGCAACGTTTCTGATCAAAATGATCAATAACAACCAAAAGATTACACACATTTAACCATAGCACTGTAATCTGCCAAAACAAGAAGTACAGTGTATTCAAATTATAATTGCAAATGCAATCAGATTTGGTTCATGCAACATGCATGACAAGATGTTCTCTTTCTTAAATTGAAAGATATAGTTGTTGTCATTTCCTCAGGACATGTCATCTTGCAAAAAGAAAACAAACAAATCCAACCTTCTGTACAAACAGAAGAAGAAGTTCATAACATTTCAGAATTCAGAAGAATTCACTTCCAGTAATCTTTGACCAATATGGTCATCTCAGTTTGTCTGGTAGTAACTCCAGTCTGTAGGGGTCTACCACGGCCTCCAGGGGGCGCTGTTGACTGGACTCTTCTCTTTGGTGATGCTGGTCTGGACTGTGGAGCTCAGCAGAGAGAAGTCAGCCTCTCTCAGGTTCTTATCAGAGGAACACTGCATCTTGTTGACGTGGTTCAGCAGTCTTCTCTGCTTTTCATTCTGATGCTGCAGTCGTCTCAGGACACAAACTGTCATCTCCAGGATGTCTGCTTTCTCCAGCTTGGAGTCTGGCTGCTGTTTGAGGAACTCTGGACCCAGGAGAGACTTGATCTGCTCAATGCTGATGTTGATTCGCTCTCTGCGTAACTTCTCCACCAGAGGCTTTCTGAGCTGCAGAAAGAAAAAGGAAGTCATTAATAATCTTATTCTGGAGTTTAGATTTGACATGAACAAAGACAACATCTGAAGAACAATATTGAAATCTTCTTGAATCTTGAATGTACCTTGTGGGTCAGAGTGTGAGGCTCCTGAGAGTTGGTCATTGCTGCAGTGATTGTAGGTGCCATGTCTGGATCTCTGTGCTGTAGAGGTCTCTGTAGAGAGAATCTGATCTCTGCTGGCTTCATCCCTCCTATTTATAGTCCCACATCTCCATATGAATGTGTGGGTCTGGGTCTCACTGCACTTTCTCACAGTCTCAGCCAATCAGAAAGCTTGGTGACACAATAAATGATGCCACACGCCTGATGGTTTTATTGAAATGAGGGCAATGGTTAGATCCCAGGGGAACAGGTGGGGGACTGGGGGGGTGATGGAGAGAGACTCACAGAGCTCTGTGTGAATCTGGGAAAGTGGTGACCCTGTAGAGAGCAGATCTGCTGCCTGATGCTGGGATCAATGACTTTGACTGAGCACACGCTCATCATCTCATCACACACGTTTGATACCGACATTAATTTCATCTTTGCTTAAATTGTCTGTATAAATGTTTAAATACACTCAATAATTAGTAGAAATATATATTTGCATTATCACTTTAAGTGCCACTCATGTAGTTTATCCTCACTTTTATTTATTATAAAATCAGATACAATTGTCCTTTAATACATTTTCTTAAACTTTTACAATAATAAAACATCTATATTACAAACTGAATTATGTTATGTTATAATAAGACTTAAGTACACACTGACGTGCTTATCTCCAGATGTAGCACACTCTCTTGACTTGTGTGGGTAGAAAGTTGGTCTCAGTTTCCCACTGACTCTGAATGCTGTGGTCAGTGAACAACAAAAGGTCTTTGAATGGAGCCTTTGTGACTGATACTGGACGTGTGTGGTGGTAGAAACAGAGCCGGACGTCACCCACCATCTGGAGGGAAACCACGCCATTGGCTGGCTTTTTAATGATGAGTCCACTACATTTATTTCTAAAATGATAAGGATAACTTTTATTAATCATTGAAACATTGAGACCTTCAATTCAACATTGTATTTGATCATTAGCAACTTGTTCAAGAGTTCTGCTTTTTAGATGAGTTTGGGAGGTTGAAGCAGCTGCTTCCTGAAGTGTGCCAAATCCCTTTAGAGAATAATCTGCTGCTTGTGGGGTTTAGGTCGATAATCATGCTAAACTGTGATCTCCTGAGATTTCCCACACTCTGTCTATTAACACAAATTATTCTGTTTGACCAAAACCACACCGATGTATTGATTGTCCATTTTACACTTGGACCATTAGATCATTCATTATGTGTATACTAATTCACCTTACTTGTACAACTCAAACATAAATATTTCCATTCGTATATAATGTCAAAAGTGTAGGTGTTGTAAACCTTGGCGGATATCACATACAATCAGTCATTTATAATAAAATATTCCTGTATAGTTCATGTAAACCATAAACCCTGAGGTCAACATCTGATACTTGGCTGTGGTCATCATTTGTCTAAAAAACAGCGACCTGTTGGTAATCAAAGTAAACAGTGTTCTGTTTTCCAGTGACTTGTAATCGGTTGCAAAGTAGAACAACATAGTCATCCTGAGACAAGACCAATATTTTGTACTTTAAATTCTCAAAAACAATCTAGTTTTACAAGTAGGCTCACTAACAGACTCTTATACAGTACAAAAGGCTTTGTCAAGCAGTTTTTATCGTGGTAGGAAAAACTTCACTTAGATATTAATCTATGATATTAAACAGATTAAGAATGTAGCATTTCTGAGATCCAGAGTGTTTTGAATCTGTCTCTATAGGGCACAGATCTTTTGTCCCACAGGGCTCTGTGAGTGAGGTTCCTCTGGTTTCCCACACGCTGTCCTTTCACTGGAGGAACAATAGAAGTGTGCCTCATTATGCATCACTTCAGATACAATGTCTTCTGTCTCTGAAGTAGTAACGTTTTCATTTACATTTTTTACATTAAACAACACACTTTACAGTTCATAAAAAAACGTTCTTTCCGCCAATAATATTTTTAAAATATACATTGTCTCATTCAGTTGATGACTTTAGCAAAAACTGACCTAATTTCATGAATAATCTGAGTGAAACCAGCTGAAAATGTACCGGTATGGAGCAGCAGTTAGCACTGTAACTCAGTGAAAGGGTTCTAGGTCTGAACCTGCTGAAACTTTGATTTGAAGAGATGTATTGTTCTCCCTGTAGGTTCATGAGTTTCCTCAAAGGTCTCTGTCTTCCTCCCCCAGCTCGAAGACATGCAGTCTAATTTAACAAGCAACTCTAAATTACCCAAATGTGTTAATAGTTACCAACCCAGCGACATCTATGCAAAGTGGTTATAAGTGATGGATGGATTGTGTGTTAAGCTTAGACAAATACTGTGTCTTACAATGGGTGGATGGTTATAGAGAACTCTTATTTAATTCAATAAAACTCAAGTTTCTATCATAACAAGGGCAAGTGTAAGGAAATACTAACTATAGAACAACATTTTCAGCTGGCAATTTTTGTTTATTCAAAAAGCACAATGAGCAAAAATAAATCATGAATGCTTCATCTAAAGGTGATGATACATCACAACAACAACAACTTGTAGATTTCTACAAGACACTGTACTCACAGAGAGTAGAGGGACAACCGTCTTTACAAAAGACACACAATTTACACTTTTTGAGGGAACAGTAAAACATTCACTGTTGGCTAACAAACATGTTTTTATAAAAACTGACCTTACAACTGGTCACGTCGTTTTAATAATCAATAGATTTTTTAAATGTAAGATTGTCAGAGTAAAACTGTGACAATGTTACATTTAACAAACCCTTCATTATGAAAGAATAACATTTTAATCTTAAAACAGAACAATTGTCAATTATCACAGAAAGTGAGGGAAGGTCCAAATATGTCCATAAAAAGGACAATTAATATCTTTGATCAATCAAAGAGATACAAAAAACAATTCTCCATGTAGTTAGTATATTGGACAACACACAAGGTGTAGTGAGACATAAAAGTATCACAGGAAAAGTGTCACATTAAGAAAACCTTTTGAAAAAAAGGATAAACAATTCGATCTTTCAACAGATCAGGTCTGAGTTATCAGAGAAATTAAGTCAATTATGAGAAAGTCCTAAAAATGGACAGGAAGTCTTTGTTCACTATGATCAATAACAATCAAAAGATACTAAATGCATTAAACTGTATACGACCAATACTTGATGTACAGTGAGGTATATCAATGTCTGTTGCATTCAGATTTGTTCTTGCAACATGCATGACAAGATGTTCTCTTTCTTAACTTGACATGTAAGAACAGTTAAAGTTTCTGATCAAAATGATCAACAACAATTAGAAGATTACAAATGTAACCATAGCGCTGTAATCTGCCATTACATGAAGTACATTGTATTATAATGATAATTGCAAATTCAATCAGATTTGGTTCATGCAACATGCATGACAAGATGTTCTCTTTCTTAAATTGAAAGATATAGTTGTTGTCATTTCCTCAGGACATGTCATCTTGCATAAAGAAAATGAACAAAACCAACCTTCTGTACAAACAGAAGAAGAAGTTCATAGTATTTCAGAATTCAGAAGAATTCACTTCCAGTCATCTTTGACCAATATGGTCATCTCAGTTTGTCTGGTAGTAACTCCAGTCTGTAGGGGTCTACCACGGCCTCCAGGGGGCGCTGTTGACTGGACTCTTCTCTTTGTTGATGCTGGTCTGGACTGTGGAGCTCAGCAGAGAGAAGTCAGCCTCTCTCAGGTTCTTATCAGAGGAACACTGCATCTTGTTGACGTGGTTCAGCAGTCTTCTCTGCTTTTCATTCTGCTGCTGCAGTCGTCTCAGGACACAAACTGTCATCTCCAGGATGTCTGCTTTCTCCAGCTTGGAGTCTGGCTGCTGTTTGAGGAACTCTGGACCCAGAAGAGACTTGATCTGCTCAATGCTGATGTTGATTCGCTCTCTGCGTAACTTCTCCACCAGAGGCTTTCTGAGCTGCAGAAAGAAGAAAAAAGTCATTAATAATCTTATTCTGGAGTTTAGATTTGACATGAACAAAGACAACATCTGAATGACAATATTGAAATCTTGTTGAATGTTGAATGTACCTTGTGGGTCAGAGTGTGAGGCTCCTGAGAGTTGGTCATTGCTGCAGTGATTGTAGGTGCCATGTCTGGATCTCTGTGCTGTAGAGGTCTCTGTAGAGAGAATCTGATCTCTGCTGGCTTCATCCCTCCTATTTATAGTCCCACATCTCCATATGAATGTGTGGGTCTGGGTCTGACTGCACTTTCTCACAGTCTCAGCCAATCAGAAAGCTTGGTGACACAATAAATTATGCCACCAGCCTGATGGTTTTATTGGACTGAGGGCAATGGTTAGATCCCAGGGGAACAGGTGGGGGACTGGGGGGGTGATGGAGAGAGACACACAGAGCTCTGTGTGAATCTGGGAAAGTGGTGACCCTGTAGAGAGCAGATCTGCTGCCTGATGCTGGGATCAATGACTTTGACTGAGCACACGCTCATCATCTCATCACACACGTTTGATACCGACATTGAATTGCTGGATGAAAAGTACTGTGTAACTTACATTTAACTACAAAAGTTGTTCAGAGAAATATATATTTCCTTCTAACGTTATTAGCCTTTTATGTTTTTTAGTTTAGTTTTTATTCTTAATTAAATCAAATAGAATCCTTATTAAAAACAATTACCCTATATTTCTACAACTTTGAAAAGAAATCAAAAATGTATCTTATAAATGTTAGTCTTACATGCGATGAAAAATATTCACATTTCCATTCTATATTCAAATGTTAAGGACAACTGACGTGCTTATCTCTATTACAAACTGAATTATGTTATGTTATAATAAGACTTAAGTACACACTGACGTGCTTATCTCCAGATGTAGCACACTCTCTTGACTTGTGTGGGTAGAAAGTTGGTCTCAGTTTCCCACTGACTCTGAATGCTGTGGTCAGTGAACAACAAAAGGTCTTTGAATGGAGCCTTTGTGACTGATACTGGACGTGTGTGGTGGTAGAAACAGAGCCGGACGTCACCCACCATCTGGAGGGAAACCACGCCATTGGCTGGCTTTTTAATGATGAGTCCACTACATTTATTTCTAAAATGATAAGGATAACTTTTATTAATCATTGAAACATTGAGACCTTCAATTCAACATTGTATTTGATCATTAGCAACTTGTTCAAGAGTTCTGCTTTTTAGATGAGTTTGGGAGGTTGAAGCAGCTGCTTCCTGAAGTGTGCCAAATCCCTTTAGAGAATAATCTGCTGCTTGTGGGGTTTAGGTCGATAATCATGCTAAACTGTGATCTCCTGAGATTTCCCACACTCTGTCTATTAACACAAATTATTCTGTTTGACCAAAACCACACCGATGTATTGATTGTCCATTTTACACTTGGACCATTAGATCATTCATTATGTGTATACTAATTCACCTTACTTGTACAACTCAAACATAAATATTTCCATTCGTATATAATGTCAAAAGTGTAGGTGTTGTAAACCTTGGCGGATATCACATACAATCAGTCATTTATAATAAAATATTCCTGTATAGTTCATGTAAACCATAAACCCTGAGGTCAACATCTGATACTTGGCTGTGGTCATCATTTGTCTAAAAAACAGCGACCTGTTGGTAATCAAAGTAAACAGTGTTCTGTTTTCCAGTGACTTGTAATCGGTTGCAAAGTAGAACAACATAGTCATCCTGAGACAAGACCAATATTTTGTACTTTAAATTCTCAAAAACAATCTAGTTTTACAAGTAGGCTCACTAACAGACTCTTATACAGTACAAAAGGCTTTGTCAAGCAGTTTTTATCGTGGTAGGAAAAACTTCACTTAGATATTAATCTATGATATTAAACAGATTAAGAATGTAGCATTTCTGAGATCCAGAGTGTTTTGAATCTGTCTCTATAGGGCACAGATCTTTTGTCCCACAGGGCTCTGTGAGTGAGGTTCCTCTGGTTTCCCACACGCTGTCCTTTCACTGGAGGAACAATAGAAGTGTGCCTCATTATGCATCACTTCAGATACAATGTCTTCTGTCTCTGAAGTAGTAACGTTTTCATTTACATTTTTTACATTAAACAACACACTTTACAGTTCATAAAAAAACGTTCTTTCCGCCAATAATATTTTTAAAATATACATTGTCTCATTCAGTTGATGACTTTAGCACAAACTGACCTAATTTCATGAATAATCTGAGTGAAACCAGCTGAAAATGTACCGGTATGGAGCAGCAGTTAGCACTGTAACTCAGTGAAAGGGTTCTAGGTCTGAACCTGCTGAAACTTTGATTTGAAGAGATGTATTGTTCTCCCTGTAGGTTCATGAGTTTCCTCAAAGGTCTCTGTCTTCCTCCCCCAGCTCGAAGACATGCAGTCTAATTTAACAAGCAACTCTAAATTACCCAAATGTGTTAATAGTTACCAACCCAGCGACATCTATGCAAAGTGGTTATAAGTGATGGATGGATTGTGTGTTAAGCTTAGACAAATACTGTGTCTTACAATGGGTGGATGGTTATAGAGAACTCTTATTTAATTCAATAAAACTCAAGTTTCTATCATAACAAGGGCAAGTGTAAGGAAATACTAACTATAGAACAACATTTTCAGCTGGCAATTTTTGTTTATTCAAAAAGCACAATGAGCAAAAATAAATCATGAATGCTTCATCTAAAGGTGATGATACATCACAACAACAACAACTTGTAGATTTCTACAAGACACTGTACTCACAGAGAGTAGAGGGACAACCGTCTTTACAAAAGACACACAATTTACACTTTTTGAGGGAACAGTAAAACATTCACTGTTGGCTAACAAACATGTTTTTATAAAAACTGACCTTACAACTGGTCACGTCGTTTTAATAATCAATAGATTTTTTAAATGTAAGATTGTCAGAGTAAAACTGTGACAATGTTACATTTAACAAACCCTTCATTATGAAAGAATAACATTTTAATCTTAAAACAGAACAATTGTCAATTATCACAGAAAGTGAGGGAAGGTCCAAATATGTCCATAAAAAGGACAATTAATATCTTTGATCAATCAAAGAGATACAAAAAACAATTCTCCATGTAGTTAGTATATTGGACAACACACAAGGTGTAGTGAGACATAAAAGTATCACAGGAAAAGTGTCACATTAAGAAAACCTTTTGAAAAAAAGGATAAACAATTCGATCTTTCAACAGATCAGCTCTGAGTTATCAGAGAAATTAAGTCAATTATGAGTAAGTCCTAAAAATGGACAGGAAGTCTTTGTTCACTATGATCAATAACAATCAAAAGATACTAAATGCATTAAACTGTATACGACCAATACTTGATGTACAGTGAGGTATATCAATGTCTGTTGCATTCAGATTTGTTCTTGCAACATGCATGACAAGATGTTCTCTTTCTTAACTTGACATGTAAGAACAGTTAAAGTTTCTGATCAAAATGATCAACAACAATTAGAAGATTACAAATGTAACCATAGCGCTGTAATCTGCCATTACATGAAGTACATTGTATTATAATGATAATTGCAAATTCAATCAGATTTGGTTCATGCAACATGCATGACAAGATGTTCTCTTTCTTAAATTGAAAGATATAGTTGTTGTCATTTCCTCAGGACATGTCATCTTGCATAAAGAAAATGAACAAAACCAACCTTCTGTACAAACAGAAGAAGAAGTTCATAGTATTTCAGAATTCAGAAGAATTCACTTCCAGTCATCTTTGACCAATATGGTCATCTCAGTTTGTCTGGTAGTAACTCCAGTCTGTAGGGGTCTACCACGGCCTCCAGGGAGCGCTGTTGACTGGACTCTTCTCTTTGTTGATGCTGGTCTGGACTGTGGAGCTCAGCAGAGAGAAGTCAGCCTCTCTCAGGTTCTTATCAGAGGAACACTGCATCTTGTTGACGTGGTTCAGCAGTCTTCTCTGCTTTTCATTCTGCTGCTGCAGTCGTCTCAGGACACAAACTGTCATCTCCAGGATGTCTGCTTTCTCCAGCTTGGAGTCTGGCTGCTGTTTGAGGATCTCTGGACCCAGAAGAGACTTGATCTGCTCAATGCTGATGTTGATTCGCTCTCTGCGTAACTTCTCCACCAGAGGCTTTCTGAGCTGCAGAAAGAAGAAAAAAGTCATTAATAATCTTATTCTGGAGTTTAGATTTGACATGAACAAAGACAACATCTGAATGACAATATTGAAATCTTGTTGAATGTTGAATGTACCTTGTGGGTCAGAGTGTGAGGCTCCTGAGAGTTGGTCATTGCTGCAGTGATTGTAGGTGCCATGTCTGGATCTCTGTGCTGTAGAGGTCTCTGTAGAGAGAATCTGATCTCTGCTGGCTTCATCCCTCCTATTTATAGTCCCACATCTCCATATGAATGTGTGGGTCTGGGTCTGACTGCACTTTCTCACAGTCTCAGCCAATCAGAAAGCTTGGTGACACAATAAATTATGCCACCAGCCTGATGGTTTTATTGGACTGAGGGCAATGGTTAGATCCCAGGGGAACAGGTGGGGGACTGGGGGGGTGATGGAGAGAGACACATAGAGCTCTGTGTGAATCTGGGAAAGTGGTGACCCTGTAGAGAGCAGATCTGCTGCCTGATGCTGGGATCAATGACTTTGACTGAGCACACGCTCATCATCTCATCACACACGTTTGATACCGACATTGAATTGCTGGATGAAAAGTACTGTGTAACTTACATTTAACTACAAAAGTTGTTCAGAGAAATATATATTTCCTTCTAACGTTATTAGCCTTTTATGTTTTTTAGTTTAGTTTTTATTCTTAATTAAATCAAATAGAATCCTTATTAAAAACAATTACCCTATATTTCTACAACTTTGAAAAGAAATCAAAAATGTATCTTATAAATGTTAGTCTTACATGCGATGAAAAATATTCACATTTCCATTCTATATTCAAATGTTAAGGACAACTGACGTGCTTATCTCCAGATGTAGCACACTCTCTTGACTTATGTGGGTAGAAAGTTGGTCTCAGTTTCCCACTGACTCTGAATGCTGTGGTCAGTGAACAACAAAAGGACTTTGAATGGAGCCTTTGTGACTGATACTGGACGTGTGTGGTGGTAAAAACAGAGCCGGACGTCACCCACCATCTGGAGGGAAACCACGCCATTGGCTGGCTTTTTAATGATGA